TTAACCTAAACCTAACCTAATCACTTCCTTTTCAATTAAGATTAAACCACGTGCACGAATAGACAGTTTTTACTTCATCTACTTTTATTGCGTTGCTTGGCACTTTGTCATAGTTAAATGTTTTTTAAATAGACCCTCGGTTCGAATCATGCTCGTTGCATCTCTCGATGCGATCGGCTTGTTTTTTTTCGACAGTCGCGTTCCCACGAGCCGTCTGTGCGCAGTTTCCAAGAATAAAATTCTCTACGTCGTGCAACGTGTCACGTGTGAAGAATATAATTATAAAATCGACGTTTATTCAAAAGAGCTGCGCGACACCGCGTCCGAGAGCTCGCATCGAAATTTAGTATTAACTGCCGAGCGACGTTCGTTATCTTCAGGCTGCAATCTTCAGGAATCACGAAGTTCCTAGAAAATCCTTTGCGTCTGTTTTATGTATTTCTTCTCCCGTGTGAATACCTATATACTATTCTATAATATCTATAACTATTCGAACAACAACAACAACAATATCGGATACAATAAACTTCCTGATTTCGTATTGGTGACTGCAATCGCGTCTACACTTTTTTTTCGTAATATTTGCCCACAGAAAATTAGGTGAAAGGTTATAAAACGTTTATATGAATGAAGAGTTAAGTAAAACATTTAAACTAGTTTATTTGGATATAAATTCAAGATATTTAATTGATTTATGATTCTATAAATGAAATTAATTTTTATAATTATTAAGAGTATGATAACAGTTTTGAAAGCAGTAGTGATGGATTCTCGGGACATGTTGAACAATATGTCTCTGTAAAGGTTAACGCTAGAAATACCGATAGTTAAGGCGAAGCTGTTTCTACCAAAACCAGTCAAAATGACTTGAAAAAAAGATCGTAATAATAGAATATTTTCATACTTATTGATTTATTACTTTCTTACAAAAGAAAGCCCGTGTTATGTAGTGCAGTTTAATACCAAATTTGTCAGCTTTATTCGGCAAACATTGAATAAATCTGAATCTGGCTTTAGATGGAAAGAGTTGTTTGTCAATTGTAACATTTGCACCTAGTTTGTAGCAACTCTGACTATTTCGAATAAACTTATCCCATACAGCTGATATCAAGGCAAGTTTATCATTTTGTAAACATTGACTTTATCCCTTTTTTTATCAAAGCGAATAAATCTCAATATTTAGGTAAAATCATTTCACTTTGTCGTGTAAAATCCTAACCTACTTCAAATCAAGATTTTAACCCCTTGCG